AAAGTGTACAATTCACTACACATGGCATCAATATATTCTATAAAGAAAACATGTTCTCATGAATATAAATATAGCAACAAAGTTATTCAATGCTCAAAACACAATCAAGTGAATACATAACAAGTTCAAGTCCATGATTTGAATATAGAAACAACTTCTAAAATACCAATAGATCCATGGAGCCATTAGATAGAATTTAATTAAACAAGGTGATTAAATTCTCTAGATTTCAAATAACCTCAAATTAATATATGTTAAACAACATATCATGGTCTTTACATATATCAAATCAAAAGTGCAAGATAAGCAAGATATCATCAAATAGAATTTAATTAATTTAAATCAATTAAATCTCTAGATTTCAAAAGTTGTCCAAATGATCTCAAATTAATTTATATCAAGCACTAAATCATGGTCATACCATATATCAAGTCTAAGATGGATTAAACACAAAACACAATTTACTAGAATTTAAACCAAATTAAATCCATTTAATCTTTAGATTTGAAAACTCATCTAAATCAACTCAAATTAATATATATCAAAGATCAACTCATGGCCATGCCATTTACCAAGTCTAAAATGAGTTATAAGCAAACTATCATTAATCATAATTTCTCAAATTAAGCATACAAGTTGTATAAGCATCAAAAACATGTAAGACAACAAACATATAACTCTATAACATTCCCTACCTCACTAGAGAAGTGTCTCTCTAGAATCCAAGGCAAAATCAACACAAAATGGCAACCCCTTCTAGGGCTATGAAGAGGAAGATGAGGGGAACAAAATGTATTCCCAAGTTCAAGCTTGGAAATCAATGGAAGACTCTCAAAAATCAAGGTCAAAGGTTAAGGCTTTAGGCTCCATCCATGGAGGCTAGGGTTTTCTTTACAAAAGAGGGAGGAAATGAAAAATTATGAAGATGAAATGTGAGTGGAGGGGATAGAGATCCTCCACTCACTATGTGCTCTTACACTACCTCTCACACACACACTAATGCAAGATCAAATTGTGAGCCTACACTTGTCACAAATCCAAGGCTCCATCCTAGGTTAAATCTCAAGCCTACACTTGTCAACCATCCACGCCAACAAGTGCACCAATCTTAGGCCAACAAGTGGTTAAATCTCCACTCTCCACATGTCCTCATCCAAGGCCTCAAAGTGTTTCCATACACATCACAACAAGTGAACCAATGAAAGTGTGACATTTGTCACACTTTCCAGAAATTGCAAAAAAATCCTTTTTGAAAATATCTTCCAAATTAAATTACAAAATGGTCCCTAAGACGAAAAATAATTACTTTACAGTAATTACACAAAACCCCTAAAGTTTAAAAAATTACAAAATGGTCATGCATTTATACCCTTTACAAGAAAAGTAAGCACTTAGCATGCTTTTCTACAAAAGTGAAAATACACATAGTATGGAATTTAAATATCGTAGATACATGTAAAACCGGAATCAAATCCGAACACGAAAAGTGAGGTTATGCTAACAAAGTGACAACCGAGAAACAGACGAAAGTGAATAGTGTCACAAAAGTGAAAATGTGAAAATGACTCGGTACTCAAAGGAAGTCGCCAATCCACCGAAAAGAGTCTCAAAAACCATTCCCGAGTACTCAAGATGACACTAAGTGACGAGAAACTGAACTCAGAAAGGAAAAGATCAACGGAAAAAAAATACCCGTGAAAATCTGAGAAAAGGAAAGGAAGGAAAATGACCGGGTCATTACAACCATGGTCATTCCTTGATGATTAATACATTTGTATGCTCACACTATAGAATTCTAAGGTGAAATGAGGCTCAAATCATGGATCTAAAACTCTCATAAACCCATGTTCATCATTTGCTCTTGAGACACACACAATGCACCCGCTTAAGGCTCACAATGTACACTCATAAGGCTTGGTTGGATGATGCAGCCCTAAAATAGAATTATATGTGGTACAATCCATGAATCATTGGTGAAGGGATAATTTGACATTCTCTGTGTGAAAGGACCACAATACCCCTGCCACCTTTGCTGTTTTGTCTTATGGATCTGTATCAGTATAGACTTGGTGCCTAATCAATGCATAACCACCTTTATTCGCTCACTCTAAAACCATAGTGTACGTGTCAATATAATACTCATCCACTGAATTAACCATAGTGCCCTTCAATGAGGACACATGTCAATGTACACAGAATACTGTGATGTAGTTGTGTATACACAATCAAATTTGATTTTATGTGATGAAATATATAATGTAGCATCTAAGGTAGATATATAATTGTCACACAAAGGTGTGAAAAGACTGTAATGCCCTTGGTAATGACAAAAACCCCAGAAAACACAGTATACCAGTGGAAAGGTTGTGTTTGGTTTGTAACCATGGTGTGTAATACAATTTACCTTGCTTAGTCAATTTTAAATGAGCTTTCTCATATTTAAAATGACTATACCCCTATACATTACTGAAATAACCTGAGCACAGCAGTAATGGGTTTGTAATCATATTTTTGGCATTCACAAGGGCAAACCCTAGATCAAAGGTGGGACCAATAAATAAAATTCACTAAACAATCATCTTTATCAAATCATGTTATAAAAAATTGCGTATTGATCAATTTTGGGCCTTATGTGCAAGTTCGAAAAAAATTCACAACGGCAATAACCGATTTCGTTATGTAACGTCGATACATGCCCGATTCCGTTACACCGCTACTACGATCGATACCGCGACTGCGAACTTTGGCTTTAACGAATCATGATCAATCCTTCATTACCAAAGAAGGTTTGATTAATATACCTTTTAGACAATTAAAAAATTGCCTACCATCGATAAATCGATTGATTGCTAGATTTGAAATCCACATACCTTGATCTCCAACGGACCGTGGTACCTTCCGGATCTTTACTCCTGTTTTTGGTTCGCAAATATCCGAGCAGTGAGAAAGGAGGGCTTTAGATCTTCTTTAGAATTATGGAACTAAGATAGAGATATGAGTATTGCATACGATACAATACTTGGATACATATAACAAACCATTACCTCCGTTTTATATAAAGGTAGAGTTTCAATTGAATACTCTCCTTATTCTACAGTAATTCACCTTTGATGTACTATTCATTTCCATGTTTAACTAGGAGTGGGATCTGATATACTTATCCTTATCCAAGATTTTAATAGAATTTTAATTTCCAACTAACTCCTTATTTAACTAGAATGTCTTCTATCTAATTTTTCTAATTTCACTAAATATAAATAATTGCACTCAAGGACACGAAAAAATATTATTAATTATAATTTAGTCCTAACTGTTATTTAATACCATAAAACAATTTCTCCATGATAATTAGTTATTTGGATAAATATTTTCATCAATCCAATATCCTAATTAATACATATTTGGTAACCTATAACTCTTATGTTTTTTTTTTTTTTGTTTTTTTTGTTTTTTTTTTTTACTACAAGGCAAGAAGGGTTAGAAGTTAGATTAGTAGATGCAGATAATCAAACCTTGTCACTCCAAAGTTCACCGGAGGCACTAACCCACTGGGCTATCGAGGCATCTGTCAAAAAAAAAAAAAAAAAAAAAAATTTCTCATGTTTAATTACATATATTTAACAAACAATTGCCATTTATTAAATATAACTGATCAGGTTTTTTTGATCAAATCAGTCTGGCCAAATACTTTGCCCCATGGGTTCCATTTTGATAAAATACATTTTGTAGGGAATATATTAATTATTTACCCAAACTACTTAAGTTGTCCGATCTGAAAATCACTCCAAGTATATCAAAGTAAATAAGTAATACAACTTCACTCAGTATAGTTATGAGGATTAAGAGTCATCTTACATTAGTAACCGATAAGGAACAGTACTCATGATGTACAAACCGTTTTCTACTTATCTTCGACTCGTTCAGCGATCTCAACATGCCAGCATATTTAGTTCTAGATCACCCCATCCAGATGACTGAAATAAGTCACTCCATTTTGTATTTCTACCGAGTTAGAAACAAATTGTTATACTCACGAAATAGAATGTTCAGTTATATTCCTTAGAGCATGAACATTCATAATTACGAATATCGATAAATTCATACTACTTGTGCACATATGTTTACCGTACGTGTACATGAATTTATCCTATCATAATTAATGGACAACCGAGATCAAATCACTTGATCTACCCAATTCAATATCGTAAATATTACATGAAGATAAATAAAATAAATTTTATTAATAAATTGTCACATTACATTCAATGGCTTTACATGGCATACACAAACCTTAACAATAAGATTGCATGTGTTGTCAAATTTTTATTGATATGTGAGATTACACCATCCACGTCATCCACTTAAGTTTATAACTCTTAAAACAAGTCGTTTTAATAAGGTTGAACTTGTCTTTTGATTTTTTCAGTGACCGACTCCGAGTGTCCTTTAACTACAATAAATTAATAATTCAAGATGATTTTTTTTTTTTTTAATTCAGGAAAGTTTATTACAACTGGCCAATAATTCAAGTGTTATTTTACATTTTACTCTATTCTTGTAATTTTATACTCAATTACATTTTAATATTAATAACTCATTAGATATTTATCTTTTTAAAAGTAAGGAAGATTATGATAAATATATGCCTTGATGTATCCAAGTGCAGTTGATAGTGTGGCATCTTATAAGAATAAAAAAATGACATATACTGGGTTTTATTGCAATATTAGGACATGTTATCTCTGACCAGTAGGGACCAGTAAGGCGATCTTTTGAAAAGAAAAGAAAAAAATATATATAAAAAGGAAAAAGGAAATAAGGGCTCATCATCCCCATTTATGTGGAGTTTATGGACAGTGCTGGTCTGCCACATGATATGTAAAACGAAATGACCAAAACAGCCTAACATATTTGATGAATATCCAATATTCCAAGAATAATTCCGTAATTTCACGTATGGAATTGATACCATCCAGTTCTTTTCGTCACTCTCAAAACTGTTCTGTTTTCTCCCTCTCTCTCTCTCTGCAGCCAACTCCTTGAACAATCCGCCATCTCTCTCTAGATTTCTCTCTCTAAAACAATCAAAATTTGTGGTGGGTATGGCTCTACAAGTCCAAGTCTCTCTCACTCCTCCCTCAATTCATTCACCAGCTTCTCTGTCTTCAGTGTATATCAAGCATTCGACTCTTTGCTTCATCGGAGACCACAGGTCATTGGGTTCATCATCTAGGGTTTCGAAGAGTGTAATTGGGGAAGAGAAGAGGAGAGAGAAGATTGGTGCTAAAAAGGGTCTCTGTGTGAGGGTGAGTTCGAGCTTGGACACCGCCGGTCCGGTGGTGGGTCAGGTCACGGAAGTCAACAAGGACACCTTCTGGCCTCTCGTCAACGCCGCCGGCGACAAGGCCGTCGTTGTCGACATGTACACTCAGTGGTATGTGTATATATACATATATCTTTACAGTGATCATCAACATCATTATCATTATTGCCCCTTATTTGATGAGAGGTAACTTCATTAAAAGAAGGAAAAAAAAAAAAAAAAAAAGCCCAAATCATTCGTAAAGAATTTTGATATCTCACTCGTTTGATCTGAGACTTAATGTCTAGACGTAAACTTGATATTTGCAGTTTAAAAATTAGTACTTTTGTAGAAACTTGTGATTTTTGTGCCTAACTGAAACAAGGTGATTGAGTTTTGAACAAAGCAGGGACAATCAAGCTACTAGATTGAGGAATATGGTTAGAATTCACGAAATTCATGTTAAAAGTTAGTGGAAAATTGTGACAAGTTTCAGCACATTGACAGCTGGTGGAAAGTCTTAGATTCAAATGCAATTTTATTTGTAAACACATGCTTAGGTCCAAAATTTCGCTCCCATTCAGTTTGCTTAGGAGGGGTAGCCAAAGAGAATTGAGTTTGGGTTTCTAGTTTTTTAGTTCTCATTTAAGTTATTAGTAGTATGGTGATGACCAAACCTATTTTAGCACAATACATGGCACTGCATTCATTTTTCTTTATTTATTTATTTATTTTCATTTGCTCTTGTTTTTGATTTGCATAGAAGGTAAAAGACAGAGGTCAACCGAAATTAACATGGAATGAAGTGATAAGAAATGATTTAAAATGAAGTGATAAGAAATGATAAGAAATAATTCCTCGAGAGGGGTGTTTGAGGTCAAGTCCTTCTATTTTAGTATGGTGGAGCTTCCTGGCCCCGATTTTCCTTGGAAAGCTATTTGGAGGACGAAAGCACCACTGAAGGTGGCTTTTTTCTCATGGACAACTGCTTTAGGAAACACCCTCACTATTGATAATCTTAAAAGAAGAAGTCAAGTTGTGGTTAACAAGTGCTACATGTGTAAGAAGACGAGGGAATCTGTCAACCATCTTCTCATTTATTACTGGGTGGCAAGGAATGTTTGGTCTTTGTTTTTGGTTGCGTTTGGTATTCCATGGGTGTTCTCAGATTCTACGGTCGACTTGCTAGAGACTTGGAGAGGGTGTACAGTGGAGAGCCGAGTCAGAGATGCTTGGAGGGCTACTCCCCTGTGTATATATGGTGGGGTATGTGGCGTGAGAGAAATAGGAGATACTTTGAAGGAGTGGAGTCTCCTATTTGGGCTCTTTAGTATAGTATACTTTCTTCTTTCTTCTTTTGGGTAAATGGGCTGGATTGTATGTCAATGGATTGTCTTTTGGACTTTGTTGATAGCTTAAAGCTATAGTGTCGTCATGGTCTGCAGTTGTCTTATTTGGAAGCACTCCCCTTTTGAGCCTTTTTATGAAATCTTTCTTATCTATCAAAAAAGAAGAAGAAATGATTTAAAAAAAATTAAATTTAGTAGGAGAAATGTCTTATAATAGAAGAGATTGGAAGAAGAGAATCATGTGGCCGACCCTTTTGTATGGGATAGAGGCAAGGATGACGATGACGATGATTTGCTCTTGTTTTGTTTCATGTAGAATTTATTGTTCCTTTCAGAGTGAGGATATATGAGCAACACATCCTCTTAACTCTCATGGACACTCATAAAGAAACAAAAAATATGTGACAAGCAATTATTAAAGTTTGGCTTTGTCTATTCAGATATGACATGGAAGTACAAGATGAGACTATTCTACGTAAGCTTGGTATATGTAGATTGAAGGAAGTGTATTCAATTTGCTGTAGGCATTGTTCCATTGAGCCTGGTTAAGTCTGTTAGATTGCATTATATAATATTACCAAGGTGGTTAAAGCATGTGTAACAAGAATCAAGATTTGTATTGGGAAGGAGAAATAGGGTTCGACCTAAGGCTCTACAAGAATGGGAAAGCCTAGAAAGGATCTTGGATCAGGTACTGAGACGAGCACCAAAGGCATGCTTATAAGCAGAAGATGACATGATTTTTGTGGCTGGCCCCAGATGGTTGGGTTAAGGCTTTTGGTTGAGTTTCAAAACCAACTTTGGGTGCATGAAGTTATACACTAGGAAGCTGGTGCTCTCGAAAACCACATAAATATGCTATTTGGAGAGCATGCTTTTACAGATGAGAATAAACTACATATGTTGAGTGCAGATGGTTTATGACAAAGTTAAGACAAAGACATTTCACTCCACTAGTATGTACATATCCCTCGGTAAATTCTACTCGTCCTCTCATCTTGCCATGTCTATAGTCTGTGTACACCATGCCAAATAAACTTATTTTGGAATACTTAGAATACGTCCTAACAGGGTGATCATATCTCATGTACTTTTCTATTGATTGGACAAACAGGATATATGTTTAAATGTTGAGCAATCTCATGCACTTAGAGAATTGGAGTGGGTCAATAAGTCACTGGTACGAGTATTTGTACCTGATGCCTTATAATTATAACTCTTTGGAAAGTGAGCTGACCTGATACCTACTCATGACTCATGCACCCACACCCAACCTGAACCCAGATCCATTTACATAGCTTTTCCTCTTGGAGAGAGTTCGATTTTTTCATCCATTGGGTTCAACTTTGAAAAAGAAATTACAGAACTCCAAAGTAACATTTTGAAGGGTTTAGCTCTAAGAAAAAGTATGGAGAAATTCTATTGTTCTTTTAATTGATAGTAAAAGTTCAACCAATCTTGCGGGAATTGATAATTTTATTTCTAACTTTTGTAACAACATGGGTCAATTTTTTTTGCTCGCTTGTGGTCTACTCTGTAATAATACGTATTTAAGAATTGGCATATTAAGAGTTGTAAAATTGCATGTGTTTCAATCTTCAGTTTAATATATACCTTTTATAGTGCTTTCTTTAATGTTTTACCTACCAGTTGGAGTATTTGTTTAAAGTCAATGACTACATACCACACCCACTGATCTGGTGATTAGCACTGTCCAACTGAAATCCTAACTTTGGAGGGAGGTTTTGAAGTTATAGAGGATTTGAAGCGAATTTGTATGCTGATCAGATAGATAGGACTTCTAGAGGTGTGTTGTTTCTTCATGCTCTCATAGATGTAACCATAAATAATAATAATAAATAAAATAAGTAAATTGTCTTTGATCTTTTGTCATAGCTTACCATTTGATTTTTCTGGGGTCCATCAGTATTGACGGAATGCCATCTGCTTACACTTGTTGGTTGATAAATGTTTTAAGAGTACAGTGTTTATAACTAAATATGATTATATTTTCAGAAGGTTAAACCATGGCTATTTTTATAACTGTAGAGCTTAATTATCTCTTAAATAATAAAAATATGACTTGTTAATTTGTAATTTTGCTTCAACCTTGAAATACTCAACTCAACAAAGCCTTTCCCACTACTTAAAATATGAAATTCAATATTCTATAGTCCACATTTGCATCTTTTACAAACTCTACATTACATGGGCTTGGTTACAAGTGTGAACACTGTGTGGGTGCATGATTTGTCTCATCCCCAAAGATTTTCCATTAGATTTAAGTCTCGGATACTTATATCTGTATCACACTGTCCTGATACAGGTTTCCCAAGGTAAACTAAAAGAGTTCAGATAACACCTAACAAATGCGGAGCATAGTGCACTTTAAATTTTTCCTAATAATTCAAATTTTTTGGTATTTAATTAGATACATGTCTGTTTATACCTGGAGTTTAAACTGATATTAGGGTCTAAAATTTCTCTTAACTGTTCCAAGAGATATTATTTTCACTATATATGCAATAACACCGTCTCTGTGCATATGTGATTGTACATTAGCATAGATCTTTTGGTCTTTCACATCAGATTTCCCAGAATGATTCTTATTCATGAGGTAATACATCCACTCCATAAGCTTTAACACTGTAAAACAAAAATATCCTGTCGTCTCACTACCACCTGGTATTCGTTCTAGCAAAACCTCATATATTACTGTAGTTTTCAACATAATCTTCCACTTGCATGTGTGTCTTAACTTCGCCTTTTGACATCCATTAAATTTCCGCAAGTAGGATATGTATATGGCTTGAAAACAAAATGATATGTTATCTCTGACAATTTGGTGCAATTGTTCTCCAAGCACCTATTGCTTCCAAAAGATGATTTGGGCATTAGTGGTCGTAAAAAGGAATTTATGCATGTGCGAATATATATAAACTTATACATAGCTATACAAGGAACTGAACGCATTGTGTTGATATATGAAATTAGGTTGAATTGAGTGGGAATATGTCCTTTGAGGTAGTGACAATATTACTTGTGTGTGAATACAATATGCATTGTAATTCAGTACATTGCTCTTATATCACAATTTCTACTTAAATACTTGCTCCGGAATTACTTATTGTTTCCTTAAAATACTTGCAGGTGTGGTCCTTGCAAAGTGATGGCTCCAAAATTTCAGGAATTGTCTGAGAAGTATCTTGATGTTGTCTTCTTAAAGCTAGACTGTAACAAGGATAACAAGGTCTGTTGCTTCCATTTCAACCAAAATTTTTGACTCTCTCTCTGTGTTGTTTTCACTTCGACCAATTCTTTGACTCTCTTAGTCTGTTCTCTCCATTTCAAGCAACTCTCTCTCTCTCTCTCTCTCTCTCTCTCTCACACATGGTGAGTTTGATAATTGTTGACAGCCATTGGCGAAGGAGCTAGGGATAAGGGTGGTCCCAACATTCAAGATTCTCAAAGACAGTAAAATTGTTAAAGAAGTCACTGGGGCCAAATTTGATGATTTAGTTGTTGCAATTGAGACTGTTAGATCCACTTAATATTCTTCCTTCTTGTTTCCCTGTTGTAAAATATATAATAACGAATTGTATCTATCTAAAATAAGTATTTTGCAATTAGAATTCTGTATTTTTCTGTATTTTTGGCATAATTGCTGCCAAAAGGAAAGTGGAAGTTGTTTCAGGGGAAAAAATGGTGGAGCTACCCTCTCTCTCATTAATATTTTCTTGATGAAAAAAGGGGATGTTATGAATCATTCATGACCACATTTCAGAACCATTGCCATTCTCCTTGCCCGGTTAAAAGTTTTATTTAATCAAGTGTTGGGTTGTTATACAAATCTAAGATACTGTGAATCCTTCCCGGATAGAAAATTCATGTTTCAGCTTGCCCGCCAAGTACTCATGCTGATTTTGATTATGAATGAACTCCTGTGGATTTTTTTTTTTAAATAGAAATCTTCTCCCAATTAAGTCATGATCTGGGTTATTTAATAGAAATTTATCTTGAAGTTCAGGGTATTACCACATGAGGCTGATTTCAAAGTTCAGCTCCAGTAAATTGCAGAATTATAAATATAAAATTATACTAACTTGCAAGTTCGGATGGAACCAAGAACTTCTCATGTGTCAAATATGCATGTGCCAGCCTTTGTGCCCAGTGTAGCAATTTTTCGTCATGAAGGAGGGCGAGCCTTGCGCGCCGTTGCTCCATTGTAATTTGAAGGTCACGAGTTCAAAAGAAGGAAACCTCTTTGCATATGGAGGTCAGACCATCTGCATCAATCTCTCTGGATTTTGATTCTCCAAAAATGTAACTTCAGCTTTTTCAAGAGCCATGTCAGCAACTTTCGCTCTCCAGAAACATGCACCCCACCAGGCCCTCCAAATTTTCGCTCTAAAAAAATAATAATAAAAAAATAAAAAGAATTTTATTTTTTATTTATTTTTTTTTTAACTTTTCCTAACGGCTCATTTGCTAATCTAAAAATCATCACTACATTCATCTCTCTCCATTGTAGCAAAATATCATTATCCATCTTTTTTAATTTTGAAATTTCAATGGCTTCGTCATACAAGCTTTTCCTTTGGCAGACTCTAATTCTTCATCTTCCTCGTCATGCTCTTCGGAAGATGACTCTATTGCCGCGTTGATTCAACAGGACAAGACGAATTCTATGAGATTAAAAATTCAGTGAGGCCAGAGATAGTTGAGCGAGTATTTCAAGTCCGTAATAAGAAGTGGTACATTCATCATGACCGAGAGGGAAGCCACTATTAGCTAATGAAAGACTACTTCGACGAGAATTGTACATATCCAACGGAGTACATTCACAGGCGATGTAGGATGTGATGAGAACTTTTTCTTCGTATCCTTAATGATGTCAAAACTTATGATGACTACTTTGTCCCAAAAAAGGACGTGACTGGTCGTTTGGGGTTGTCTTCTATACAGAAGATGACAACTGCTATTTGTATATTCGCATATGGTTGTGTAGTCGATAACTATGACGAGTATATTAAAATCGGCGAAAGCACTGCCATTAAATGCTTGAAGGCATTTTGTAATGCTATTACTGTTGTGTATGCAGAGGAGTATGTGTGACCACCCAACGAAGCCGGCATAGAATGGCTGTTTGAAGAAGGGGAGCAGAGAAGATTCCCAGGTATGCTTAGTTTTATCGACTATATGCACTGGGAGTGGAAGAATTGCCTAGTGGAGTGGCATGGCATACATAGGGGACGCTCTGTGAGTTGTATGTAGCGGAATATTTAGAAAGTTTGTATTTTTAGAAACAAATTTGTGTCTTTCCAATTTTTATTTATTTTAGTAATTAAATAATAAATCATGTAGATAAAATAAATCAAAGTAAGAGTTAGAGATGACACTAGAAATTTTAGCGAAGAAACCTCAATTGATAAAACACGTCAACTGTTTGTGCGGAAAAAATGTTGTAGACTCTGCAGTCCAAAGTAAACAGATCCACTATGTTTGAAACAAAGTACACTGAACTTTGACTCTGGCTCACACTCTATCGTTTTACCAAATACCAATAACTGACAATCCTATGGCTTTGCGACGTCCCGTACAACAACAACTTGACCTCAGGCTTATACTTGATCTTTATATGAATGTCTATCATTTAAGCATGATTAAAATGTTAATGAAAGTAGTATAATCTCAGATTCATTTCAGAAAAGTGACCATATGGGTTTTAAGTTGGCAGACCTTTGAAAACAAGGTTTTATATAGAAACGTGCTTGAATTGTGTAGTGATTTTAATATAACTTGCTATGTTTGTATTGACCATCTTCTCAGCAAGCTTGTTTAGTTGAATCAAGTCTGTGAGAATCAAGTTCAGGCCAGGTTTCAGGTTAAATTATCTTTTTACCCTTCAGGTTCAGATATTACAAAAAATGAGTTATTGAGTACTTTAAGCTGCATTTTCATTACTATCCTTGGTTATTGCTTAAGTACACTTGTCACTCAACATACATTGTGATTTAGAGCTGTGAGATCTACGGAGGAAGCATACTTGAAGAATTCCAGAAGTTGAGTACTCAAACCTTGTGATTTAAGGTTTTCTGGTGTACAGGCTGTTGTTGAGCTTAATACTTTGTTACCTTGCTATATTCTTCATGATCATCATTTGAGCAAGTATATTGATGTGTGGGAGCTGTATGAGCCATTGATTGAACTAAACTAAGAAATTTCTGGTTCTTACTCCTAAAGACTCAGTCTGTTAAGGTTTTCTGCAGAAATTAAGCCTGGTGTGCAGTGAAGGTGATATACCTTGCTGAGTTCATTGAGTGTATCATCTGAGCAAGTGTACCTAGTTGAGTTAAGGCTGTGGAAACCATTGTCTGGTCCGTGGTGAAGTTGCATTGTGAATTGACACATCAAACCTCAGTTTCTACAGAAGTTGAGCTAGGGTTTCAACTATTCTTTATCTTTGAGCTGTGATTTTATTCTTACTATTTGTATCAGCCATTGTATGAAGTTGATATTTATGTTTTCATGTATTTGAAGAGATGAGAGAGTTATTGGTACAAACAAGAGTGATGTGGACACGGAGAGTACTGTTGAGCACCAAGTGGGGCTAGTGTGTGTGAAAACTAGGGTTTCAGCTTGTACAAAGGTGTATACAGAGAGTGAGACAACTGTGTGTGTAATTACTTGCATACAACTAGTGGAGATTACATTGGTTGTGATCAAGAATCAAAGTTTTTGATTTTTAGTTCAGAGATATTTTCCTTGTAAAATCTAGGTGCACTTGTGGTTGAATGTTTGAGCATCGTGTGTGTATTGAAAACATTCTAAGTGTTGAAAGAAGTTAAGAAGAAGACCAATTCACCCCCTCTTGGTTCATAACTAACTCCTTTTTTGAGCCTTCAGAAAGTAACCCTTTCTTCTCTTTTACCTTACCCCATCAGTGATGTTCTCTGTCTCGTTGCTGTGCCCGCCCATGTCTATCTTTGAAGTTCTGGTAACTGAACAGGTATAGGTTTTGTATGATTGTATCCCTGGTACCTTTTTTGGGTTCAACCTTGATATTTTTGGGCTATTGTGTAGCCCAATAATGTGTTGTATGGCCAACTAATGGGATAGCCTTGTTTAATGCTTTCTATTTGACACTTAGGGCCTGGGGTATGCCCCTTGTATTTTGTACATATTTTCTCTCTTTCCATTTTTATTGCAAATACTTGCTCACCCAAAAATTAAAAATTTGGGTATATGTGTGATTTTTTTCTTAAAGAGTTTGACGTGGCTAGGCCAATAGAGTTTTTATTTTACTTTTTATAACATGATATTAGGGCTAGGACATGGCACTAGTTCTTGTATTAGAGCTTGTTTGGCTTAGGCTTGTTTAGATTGAGCTTTTATTTTAGTATTGTGTTTAATTGACTTGGGTTTGTTTGGGTGGACTAATACTAATAATAATAATAATATATATATATATATATATATTTTTGGACTGAGCTAAAATTACCCATAGTAATAATTTATTTATTTATTTATTTTGGGGGGTGGGCTGGAGCCCAGTCTAGCCCTCCGCTATTATATATATATATATATTCTCAAATATATATGTATACAACTAAAATCTTTGATTCGTACCCCCTTGAGCAATCAAGTAATTTAATTCGTACCCCCTCTAAGTAACGGTTTGAATTTGTAAAAATTTAATTTCCATTGTATTTCTAAGTGCAAATAATTTTTGTGATTTATCATAACAATTATTTTTTCAATATATCACTTCTAAACAGAGAAAACTCCCTTCACGGGTGATACTATGTTATAAGTGCCATCAACTAATTATATTTTATTATATAAATAAAAATATTTTACTTTGATGATTTACGTATCAATATTTGTAGATACTTCGATAGCCCAGTGGGTTAGTACCTCCGGTGAATCTTGAAGTACCAAGCTTTGACTCCATGCACCTACTAATATAACTTCTAACTCTTCTTGGATGGTAAAAAAAAAAAAAAGTATCAATATTTAATCAGTACCGTGTCACTAATACAACCTAGATATTGTGGGCCATTAAAGCTAATCTCTCCATTTATTTTAAAATTGAGTCTCGATGCTAGTAAATTTGAGAAGTTCTTTGGCATCTCCAACTTGAACATTGCGCATTCCTCAAACTTTGCCATGAATCTTGGGCGACTCGGACTCCTCGTCATTGTTGAGACACAGCTGCCCTTTGTCTTTCATCTCTTTCATTTCTTTAAAATTTTAGTTCGGTGAAGAGTGTGCTGGCAAGGGAAGAACTAGTAATGTGCTAACCTAGGCTATAGCCCAGGTCCAATTGAAAAAAAAAAATTAGTACTATTGTTCCTATAAGCCTATGTATTACTCTTACTCTTCCTATCAGCCTAGCCCAATTCATAGTATTTCTATAAATAAAAAGAGTTATAAAATTTACAAAGGTCAAGCCTTAAATATGAGCAAGCTCACGAACCATAGACATGTCCAATCACAAAATAAACCATAATAAAATATAATAGGCCCAACCCAGTAAATCAAACACATTGTCAGTCTATGGAAGAAGACTTAAACTCATCGTGTATAAGGCACTAAGGCATAGGTGGATGGATATCATGGATTATTATTGTTAATCCAGTGAAATAT